GATTCTTTAATAGAAACAGAAAGTACAAAAAAAAAACATTTCAAATATAACTCTTTTATATAATTTTAAATGTCTTTACTGTCACTTTTGATCAATTTATTGTGTCCAGATAAAAGTATTAATTTTGTTAAAAAAAAACAAAAAAAAAATGTACTGACCCCAAACTCTTAAACACTAGCGTACTTCGAGTTACTAGTAAAATGTGTTGTGTACGGTGGCCGAGAAGTGGTTGTGTTTTCTGACTTGTTATAATGTTTTCTGAATTGTTGTTGTGTTTTCTGAATTATTTTGTTTTTTAGACTTGCATTTGCATTTGTAATTTGTTATTTTGTTTTCAGAATTGTGATTTGCTTTGCACTTCTCTGCCACCGTAGTTGTGAATGCCATTTCATATTGAATTCTTTTAGTTAGATCATAAAAATGACTTTGGAGTCTGTAAAATGTTTTATATTTTGATACAAGTCTCTTATGCTCTTATCAAAATTACAAAAATACAGTAAGAATATTGTGAAGTATTATTCCAATTTAAAATAGATTTTCTGTTTTATTATATTTATTAAATAAACATATGACAAATCTGTAACAATCAATAGAGAGTCAAATGCTCAAATAAAACTTTATGCCGACACAATAGCAGGGTCACTGAATTGCAACTGTAAAAATACAATAAATATCCAAGGTTTTGTTCAGATATGCAGCAATTTTGTTGCATATCTGACTAAAATCCCAAAAAATAAAAATGCTTGCCACAGCATGTGCTCAAGTGTGTGATATACAGTAATGCCACAGACGATGTTATCTCATGCCCCTCATGAGTTCAGCACCTCTCAGTGTCATGAGCATGTTACAGTACACAAAAATTCCAGTTTTCCATCATCTCTTTCCGCAATGATAGCTACTCTCCTCTAAGTGTCTCTGGCATCATGCTGACACTCAAGTCATTACTATGGCAAGAAAATATATACCGATTTTCAAAATGATAGGGTGTATAGTAAGTCCTAAAGATTTAAAAAATGTGTGCAGTGTATGAAGAAAATCCATTTTTAAACATCACCTCATTAAAACATTTTAAAATTACAAAAACATTGAACATTTTAGTTATAAATGAGCTTGTGTCGTTGTTGATTATAGGTTTTTGTTAGGCAGAGACTGAGAGAAAA